GCCACAATTTGCAGCCGGGGTCCAGTGGTCTTTCCGGAGAGCACCTTCGCAACGCATGCTCCGCTTGACCTGGATGATGACAACGAGGGCGAACGCGTGTCAGCCGGCAGCCTGGGGGCGTATGGCTCGAAAGCAATGTCCCAGAGCCCCGTGCAGAGGCAGTCGTCCTCAACGTCGAGCTCCGTGGTGACTCTGTCCAGCCCGTCGTTGAGGGTGCTGTCCAGCTCTAACAGCTGCAGCGCTGCGGGCGCCGTTGCAGTGGCGGGGCCAGCGCCAGCGACGGGGCAGCAGCTTGGACCTCGCCGAGACGTAGATTCTTCGGCAAGGACCGGCAGCCCGGGTGGTGGCGGAGACCACGAGGGAGATGTGACACCGCGGCTTGGCTCAAGCGGGTGTCTTGCGTCAGATGTGTCGCTGCCCATGATGCCAACGCCCAACATCGCAGCGGCAGCGGTGGATGGAGTGTCCTGGCAGGCTTCCCGAGTGTCGTTGCCGCAATCGCCGCCACGGTTGACGTCGTCTACTTCCATGGCGGCAGCTGCAGAGGCGGCAGCCAGCGCATTTGCGGTCAGCAACGGCAGCTCAGGCGGCGACGGGCTGGGTACCGATGGAGGTGGAGGTGGTTCATCCCCCAACCGTGACGCGGGCTACTCGGGCGGAGTCGGAGCGGGCGGTGGTGGTGTTTCCTGTGCCGGCGCCGACTCCAGCGGCGGCAGCCCTTTCCGCAATGGGGCAGGCGTTGGCAGTGCGCCGGGCACGCCGCCCACGCTGCCACCTCTGCCGTCTGCGTCGTCTCTGCAGCCGCCGCCGCTGTTGGCAGTCGCGCTCCCGGAGCCTCTTCAATTGCCGGTTGTCACGACGTCGCCCGTTAAGCTCCGCAGCGGTGGCAGCATCACGCAAGTCCCGCTGCCGCCGCCGCCACCGCCGCACTTGCAGCCCCTCGATGGGCCCTACGGCTCGCTCGTCCGACCGCCGCAACCTATGGCGCTGCAGACACGTAATAACTTACCATCGCCGAGCCATAGCTCCTTTGCCATTAGCGGTGGTGCCGCCTCGCCGCCGTGCCTCAGCAGCGGAAGCAGCAGCCCCACGCGGCTGTCGCAGCCAATGAGCCCGGCGCCTGGACAGCCTCATGGGAGTGGCCTCTCGCCACATAGCACCTCCCCACGTCGCCATGCCAGCTCCGCAGCTCTGCAGCCGCCGCTGGCCACCGCCGGCTCCGGCGGCGTTACCACGTCACCGCCGCTGCATCCGACAGGCAGCGTGAGCAACAGGCTGAGCAGCAGTCTCAGCAGCCCGCCAGCTGACGCGTCCGGCAACGGAGCTGGCAGCGCTGGCGGTGGCCTCACATCACAGCTCCAATCGACTGGTTCGCTCCCGGCGATGGGTGTGCACAGTAGCTTTGTAAAGTCATCGTCTGCGTCGTCGTGGGGCTCTGCAGTGCCGCAGTTCCTGGACGTGGATAGCATCCGGAGATATTGCGGCAGGACCTCCTCGGGGGGCAACGGTGAGCAGCTGGCGGAGAAGTGGGGCTGCAGACCGACAGGCGAGGAGATGCCGCTTGGCGGCGCCGGCCGCGACGGACTGAATGCGGTGTACAACGCTCTGTGCAAGCTGGAGCCGGGCGCGGTGTTTTGCAGCAAGTAAGCAACGTTATGCTTTCGCGTGTGCTTGCAATACTGCCTCTTGCCTTTTCCAATGCATGGGGCATGGGTTGGGTCCCGTTTATTGGCGTGTAATGTGTCATTCACAACGGAACACGTGCAGGAACCCACCCCGAATCCTATGCCTCTCCTTAGCCTCCCATGTAAGCGGTCAGTCAGGATTTAGATCGCACTCTGTTTTTTTGTTATTGTCGACGATTGTATCACCAGGTACAAGATCCGTGAGACGCCCGTTCTGGGCCGGCACAGCGTTGTCCTACTCGCCAAGAACGTTTATAGCAAGACCCGCGTGGCTATCAAATTCCACGCCAACCGGCTGCAATACGAGCGGGAGAGGGATATGCTGCAGGCGCTGTCGTCCATGCACGTGCCGGCGCTTCATGAGCCTCTGGACGGGCCGCAGCTGTCGGCTCTGGGCCTACCGGCGGCCCTGGTGATGGAAGCTGGGCGCTGCACATTGACGGACTGGCTGCGTGGCGATGGTGGCGGCGCGCCACGGGACCTGCTGTCACTGAAGGCTGCGCTACACCAAATTTTGGCTGCGCTGGTGCACTTACATAGCCGCCGGATTGTGCACCGTGATATTAAGCCCGCCAACATCATGTGGTGGGTCGTCTATGACTCCTGGTTGCCAATCGACATTGCACTAGGTTGGCCCCTCTTTTGGTTGCCACCCATACGGTCCGCTTTGGACGTCAGATCTACCCTTCTTTGTTTTCAGCTATTTCGTGGCCACTGCACCCTGAGGTACTTGCTCCGCTGAGATTACCCGCTGAGGATCGCGCTGGTGTGCCACCATTACCCAGCCCTCATTGTTAATTTTGCTTCGTTGCCACCTATGGCATCGCCGTTGTTGCCATGCCTCCACACAGGTTTGAGGGCCCGCACCGTTTTAAGCTCATCGATCTTGCAGAGGCAGCGATTGTAGGCGAGGCAGCACTGCCCTGCTGCACACCGCTCTACTCTGCGCCCGAGCAGATCAAGTCGGCGCTTGAGGGACTGCGCAGCCCGGCAGCTGTTACGCCTGCAGTGGACATGTGGTCATTCGGTATTGTGGCATACGAGGTCCTTAGCGGCGGATCGCGGTTCTATGGCCCCTCGCCATCGCTGCCAGAGGTGCTCGAGGCGGTGTTTGGGCACCGGCTGTTGCCAAGCGAGGGCGAGAATGCTCTGGCTAGCTTCGAACTCACGCAGGTGAGGACGGAACCGCCGTTAATTCTGTGTAGAGGACGTATGTTCCGTTCCTCCTTCCTGCCTTGTCGGCCTTCCTTTAAGGTTGGATAACGCGACGACTGTCCGCTGTTCAGTCTTTCACAACAACTACCCGCTGCTCCATTTCCAAGCTTAAGGTTCCCGCCGTTCCTCTTTTTGGCCATCCAGATCCTCCCTTTTCTCTTCATGCGCTCACAGGCCCGGCGGTTGATCTCCAACTTGGTGGTCCGCTCGCCAGCACAGCGCTGGTCCGCGGCCACCTGCCATCGCAATGCGCTCTTCGCTAGCGGCGACGATACAGATCAGCAGGCTGCCAAGTGGGACTCCATGCTCAGCCGGATCTCAGAAGTCCACCAGACCGTCAGCATCACCTCAGCGGAAATCCGCACTGCTCAGATGGCCATAAGCATTACCATCTGTGAGGCCACACCATCGAGCCCCGGCGGCAGCCCTCGCCTCAATCGCGTCGTGTCCGCCGCCTCAAACTCTTCCGCGGGTCCCTCAACCGGTGGACCGCCGCGCCTACACCACATGGACTCGTGCAGAATTTCTCGCCGGGTTGCCTACAAGGAGGTGCCCATGATGTCGGATGACTGCCTGCCCGGCGTGCCCATTTTCATGCTGCTGCTGCGTAAGCAGTACCAGATACGCATCACGGTGGCCCACGCACGTGGTCTCAAGCTCGACATTTGCAACATTGAGCATCTGAAGCTGACCACGCCGGACAACCAGGTGCAGGTGCTGCCGGTGCGGCTGGAGACGGGCCTGCGTGACGGCGGTGTGGAGTACGTGGCGGACTGGGACCCGGGATCCTCGCATTCCAAGCACCTGCTGGTGGTAACGGAAAGCGAGGGGCCCATCCAGCGGCGTGTCGTGTTTTTGAACGCGGAGTTGGTGGTGCAGTTGTCCGGCGTGCTTCAACCAATGTCGGTGAATACAATGCTGTACGTCGTGATTGAAAAACAAAGCTTCCGGTACAATGTTGCCAAGTTGAAGCTGTGGACCGCTGATCGGTGGAACCAGGCGCCGCAGTGGATGCGGGATGTGGCCAAGGGCACGACGGTGCTGGTGCGGGTTGCGGGCAATGTGGTGGGCGTGTGATGGAAGGTGCGGAGGAAAGGAGAGGAAGGAGAGGAAGGAGGAGCCATGGGACCGACCGGATGGGGTCCAGTTGTGGGAGGGCATCGGCGGCAGGAAGAGCTAATTGCAAAGGCTGCTGTGGCAATTACTACTCGGCCGCCTGGCCCGTGGCACAGTCGTTGGTGCAGGCTAAGAGGAATCTCCGGGAAATCGTACGGGTTTGCTAATCGATGGACTTCTTGCAAGTGCCGGGCTGGGTCAGTATGGAAGTGTGGGTGTGTGCTGTGAATTGGCCGATGGAAGGAAAGGCCGTGGATCCTGTGAGAAGCTCAGTAGGGTTCTGGAAGGTAGGGCAAGATGAAGAATCCCTGCAGTTTTTGTACCGATATGTCCTGATACGGCACATGGTGTTTCTGCTAATACATAGGCACATAGAGCATGAGAAAATGAAGGTCTTCATGAACGAGGGGCTGGGACACATGGCCAGGTAGGGAAGGGGCTAAGAGAGCTGCGCTTGCTCCTCAGGAGGACGAGGGGTATACAGCCTTGGAAGGGGGAACGAGGACGGGTGAGGGCTAGGAAGTCGCTAATTAGGTCAGCGCTGTGTACAACCGATTTAGGTCGCTGCGCCCGTAGTAGAGGTGGTATTGGGGGAACGCACGTGTTGGGCTGTCAGGAGGCTTGTGAAAGGGGGGGAGTTGGGGAATCTGTATGCATTCCTATTTGAATTGTTTCCCCTCGGAGTGCAGCGGTCCGCGATATGTTCCATTGCTTCCTGACTGCGGTGTTGTTTGTTTAAGGTCTGTGGTCCCATCGATTTGCTTTCCCGTGATAAGTGGAGCGTATCGTGGCTCTTTTGATCCTATGGTTAGCGTTGGGCGTGCGGGGTACGCCTCTGCCTTTGTAGGTGACGCTGTGGGGCGCCCAGGTGGCGCCTAGGTGGCGCGTTAGAGAAAAAAGTTATTAAACGTAAAAGGTGTTGGCTACTATAGGCCTCGTGTGGTGGCAGGATGGTGCTGCTGGGGTAGGTTGCACGCGACAAGGTCACGTGATTTCTGGTGTGGCCTTTGCAAAGCCACTCGCATAGCTCTGATTCGATTGTTTGTATGCAATGTTTGCCGGCGATTGTCCAACTTGCCGCTCGCTTTGCGAGAGGATCGTTCCGAGGAGCGACTGAAGTCGTGTAGTTGGTTTGCAGGCGGTGACTGGGCCACTTAATCGGCCACAATCGATCTGCGCCGGTAGTGTGCCTGCGGGTCTCGCTGTGCTCGAAACGGTTCGCAGAGTCTCAATGTACGCGAGCGCTGGCTGGCTCCTCAGGTTGCTGTGTGTTCCTGGGGAGGGGGTTGTACATGGGAGGGTGCGATGGCGGAGGCTGCATCAGCTGTAGCTGGAAGAGGCTTTTGCGATTCGGTCAATCCAAGGCGCACCTGTACATTCGTTCCTTCCGTTTCCTCTGATGGGGAAATGGTGTCATGCATGGTGTTATCGCGTCGTCTTGGTGTCACGGAGAGCAGAAGAATACCGCGCGACGGAGCTCAAGTGAAGATGTCAGAATTGTAGCTTCTCGGTGTGGGGTAGCAGCGTAGGATGATTTTTCGGGCAGCTTGTGTGCGTGCTGTTCAGTTGTGATGGCTTGTGAGATTAAGCCAGTGCAAGGGCAGCTGGCAGGTTGATGCAGGGGCTGCGGCGCTTAAAGGCGCTTCTGCAGCTTGTGAGCACTTGGAAGCAGCAGTTAATTATGCCTGTGAAGAGTCCTTGGAGCGGGCTCTGAAGGAATGTGAAAGAGATGGCGGCACGGCAGGTTGGCAACTTTCGGCAGCTTAGCTGGTCGGCGGGGTGGAGGGGGTTCCATCTCTTGCTTGCTAGCGTTTCGAATAAACCTTGTTGGATGTTCACTATCATCCTGGATACGCAGCGACCATTAAAGTTGTGTTTTTTATCATCAACTTCATCGGCGTCATGCTGATGTTGCTGTGTCTCGCTTGACTGAAAAACACATCCCCACATGCACATGCTGGACCATTGACCTACATCGAGTGGATGGGGAACAGCGCAGGCCAGAAGCCTTCCTGTGATATGCTTGGTCAATGTCTCGCGCCGAGGCAGCGGACCGGGCATCATCGCTGCTGTAGATGGGAGTCACTTTTTCCACCCCTGTTCTGTTCTGTGCTTCTCTTTCTTTGTCTTTCCATCTATCTGTCTCTCTTTCCTGCGCAGGCTCTGTCGCCAGGGCCCGCACCGGTTGGTTAGTACGCCTTGGGTCCTCGGAGGACTTCTCCCCTCCGCGACTGGCATGCTGCGGGTTTCGGACGCGACCATGTGCTGGGCTGGGCGTAGCAATGTGTTGCGTTACTTATCGGCTGAAAAGGATGTAAAATGGATGCCGGTGGATGGGTGATGTGGATTTTTATTCCATCAGCAGCCGAAACTGGCTGCGTATACGGACGCTTCTGTGTGCGGGAATCGGGAGGGTAGCCGTTGTGCAGCCAACCCCTTATTTCCAGCTGAGGAGGACTTACGGTGCTGCAGCCTCCTTTTACAGTCTGCCTGTCCATGGTTGAAAAGGTCATGTTTTCGGCGTGATGACTAGCTCCTCTATGCTCAGCTTATCCATGATTGAAGGGTAGGCTCTTTTTATTTTGCGTTGAAGGGTGCCGCGGAGGCGGGGCGATCCTTATGCCAGCAATGCCCCAACAGTGCGCCGCATTGCGGAACAGTGTGTTGCGATGCGGGATGAGCACGGCCGGGGGCACCCGCTGCTGTTGCCGCGTCCGGCCGCCCTCCTCGCTCTCTCAGCCCGTCCCTTCGCTGTGGCTACTAACGCGTTTGGCATTCCGTACCGCGTTGCGTTCTCATATATGGGGACTATATGGGGACGGAGTGATGACGGGTCGGGACGGGACGGTGGCTTTGGGCAAAGCCGGTCGCGCGCCATGGGGGGAAAGGCTTTAACCGTTTCTGTCGACGCGCCGAGAAGTGCATCTATTTCGTTGGAGTCGTTGCTGAACGCCAGCAGCTCTTCTTGTGGCGGGTTGTTTATCGTTGTGTCAAGCCTCGCTTTATTTGCTGGTGCGTTGATCGGATGGTACAATTTTGGCCATGGGCCTTGTCGCCCTGCACGGACTGTGACTGGGGCAATGGGGTGGCTTGCGATCTCAAGGAGGGGTTGCTGCCGGCAACGGCAGAGGCAATCCCGAAGGCTTTCTTGGCAAAACAGGGACGTGTGTTCTTTGGGCAGTCTTGCCACATCTCACATGCTCGCATCCTAAACGCATATCCAGAGCATGGCAAGTCCTCTGTTTTCCTTGTTGTATCACGACGCGTACAAAATTTCTCCCGAGTGGAAACGCGGCAGACTTCGTGAACTTCTCCTCGCAGCTGCTTGCTTGTTTCCAGGAATGGACGAAGGGTGTGCGCGGGCGGATTTCAGTTTCAGTGCGTGTGACGCTGTGTGCCGAATATGTGTAAAGTAGGCTCAGTTTAGCATTGGCATTGGCACATCTCGTCCCAAGTCGGAAAGTGGTCGAATATGAAGTAGGCATGGATGGGCTCGGGCAGGGTAGAGGTGGCGCCTAAGCTGCTGAAGGCATGTGCCGAAAGGAAGAGGGCAGCTTTTGCATTCTTTGTCCTGTGCAGATGGGAAGTTGCTGCTGAAGGGACCAGGGCGTCCTTGTAGGAGTTGCCAGTTGTTTGATGCCATTCCTACCTTGCCGGTCGTATGCTCTGGAACTTGTGGCTTTGTCGCGTTGTGGGCATACAGGTAGGGCGCCATTTGTAGCAATATAAGGGGTAGCCGTGTATGCTGCCTTGAGAAGTATTAACTCTTGAACATTTGTCCTTCACCGCTATCCTCATCTAGGGGCGATAGGGGCTACGTGAACTTGACTAGGTCTTGGTACAAAAACCTGAAAATCCCTCGAAAAAAGAGTGGGTTGTCGTTCGTCTGCCTGGTAGGTAGTGGATTTTGCGTTGGTCCGTTGTAATCGCCGCTTGTAGAAGAGCCGGTTGTTTTGTTGCAAAACGTGGGCGAATTTTTTGCAGTCGCGATGCCTGCATCATAAATATTGTTGCACATGTTTTTTTTGCCTGCATTAGACAGCTTTGAAACACATCAGAGCGACGCGTAGGATGGGTTTTGGTACTTTAACGGTGTTAATTAGCGTTTGTGATCTCTCGATCACATTCCAGCCCGGACCAGTGCAGGCGAGGCATGTCGAAGATGATCGGTGAAGGACGCAGAGCGCGCGGGCTGCGTTGATGGCAGAAAGGCTTCTCAATCTAGCGTCGAGTTTGTTGGTCTGCCTGTACAAATAAGTGCTCTGCTTTAAATCTGTCCGGAACCGGCTCATCGTGTGCCCAAGTCAGGAGGGGAAGGGCGTCCCAGGGAGTAGTAGGCCCGCGGCGTGAGCGGCCACACGATTAACAAAAGCAGCGGCACCCATTACTGCCAGATTTAGTTCCACGTGACGTATTTGGAGCGTGGGATGGTATTGTCTAAGAAAGTGTCTTTAGTTTGATTACCCAAAAGGGAGGGGGAAGCTTTATTGTTTTTCTTGCGTTCTCCTCGGGGCAAAACGGGACTGCAGGCCGGGTATGCGACACACATATAAACTACGGCACAACCTACAAAGCGATTGAAATAATAGACGACGGTCGATTACGGTCCTCCACCCGACGCGACAAATAATCAGAGGCTGCAATCCGTGCTCTGTCGTACCTCCATCCAAGTTCATGTACGTGTCAAGCGGTTGGGGAGCCAACGGCGCACTGGAGTGCGCAGAGGTACGAAGGCAGGGCGGACGAGTCTTCAGATGTTTGCTAGCGTTCTTGATCCGTACCTTTTGTTTGTCCCTTCTCAGTATGTTTAGCATTGTGCTCCAGTATCCCATGACTTGGATCTTAGGTGTTGTGGAGCTAGTGTCTGAGTGATTTCTTGCCATGCCGAGGAGAAGACGGAAACCAACAGCTGCCAATGGCCGTTACGTTGCAGGAGGCGGCAAACAGCCAAGCAGCCACGCGCTGGCTGCGCGGCAACACCTATCTACGGGGGAGACAAGAAGGAAAAAACACAAGGTCAAGTTGCCCCCGATGACAAAAGACAGCCCCACGACAAGGCAGCCCTTAAAGACAACACGAGAGCCCAACTCAGAGCCTAGAGCCACCTCGGAAAATAGGAAAGCCGAAGCCGTCGAAAGCTCTCAGGCCAACCCTCTAGAACGCCGCCGTGTTAGGAACCTGAAAGTCGAGGGAGGAATGGGGGAGGGGAGCGGGACATTTTGAAGGGATTGCCATTGCGATCCAGCTCGTACGACGGTCGCACCGAACCAGCCTTAGAGGCTCCAATCGCTACGCTTCGTCGCACATCTAAGCGACGATATATCGGTTCTCTCGCTTGCCGCGTACATATAGCACGTAAGAACAGGTATACAGAGGCAATCGAGGGAACGATAATGGGATGTGCTTGGTGCATCGAACCGTGTACTCTTTTTAGGACTGCACGGCAGTTTATATACCTGTATGAGTCCTCCCTGCCAACCCATGGAGGTCTTGACGACTATCACAGTAACGTTTTGCTACGGCTTGTTGAAGGTCCCAGGAGTCGCTGGGTAGGATACAATGCATATGTGTCATACAACAGTCCCAAAGAGGTAGATTAATGCGGCATAATTCTCGGGTGAAATTTTGTGGCAGGATTTGTGTGTTTTGTAACGTTTGGCTATTCTCGGCAACCTACGAGCTTGCCCATGGGCCGCTGCCTCGTATGGGGCCGCTACACCTTACAAGGGTACGCAACTCAAGGTGTATAACACACACACGTGTAAGTATGATCACATTGCTTGTAGCTGATGCCCTTGTGGCCGGCATGCAAACTGGCGTTGTGCTACCAGAAACCACTATCTAACTAGAAAGCACGGTTAGCACAAAAGCCGCAAGATGTACGCCAATACTGTGGCCGACTATACACAACGACAACTGCCTTTCGTCTGGTTATTTCTTCCGGCTTTGCAGGGAAATCGGCCGGGTTTAATGTGTCGTGGCAGAAGATACATACTCAAGTTTCTTAGTGGGCATTCCAGTTTGTTGCCATCAACACAGCTGGTATGGCGCGCTTTCTCTGCAGTCCATATGCTTACTCATGCCCCAATAGTAATCTCTCACTAAACGACCCCTCATCGTTTGGTTTGCATCCGAAGGCTTTCGGGTCCGCCGCCAGTGTACTTGTGCTTCACAAGGCTTGCAATAACTGTGCTATCATACCAGACGACAGATCCACAACAACAAATGCGACTCCTCATACAGACCAGCTTTACCAACAGACCGGACATCCTATGAACATTTGACTCTCGCATACAGTCCTGCAAACCACATGACCCAAGCCGCGGTGCATAATCGGAAGCAAATATCCAACTACAATCAGAACGAGTTTGTAATTTGCACGTTGGTTGATTCGCTGCACTAAGTGCCTGCTTATCACATGAGCTTAAGCAACGTGGACTTGTATCCGAACGAAAGAGGCCTAGGGGGTTTAGGCTTAACGCCTGCAAGTTTGCGCACGCCAACAAGGTACACAACATTGAACATGCACGACGTCTATATACCACAAAACCAAAGCAAAAGGACGGCAAAGCAAGCACATAGACAAGCAATAGACTCTCCTGCACACTCCCCCCGCACGCAGCAACCGAGTAGTACGCAGCGTAGCAACTGACGCCATCCCGTCATTCAGCGTGTTAAGGTGTCTTGCTTCAATGCTTCCGCGTTTTCTTCCTGCAGCCTGCGCATTGTGAGATACTGACATCGACGCGTCCAACACCGCCAGTGTGTGATTAGCCGAAGGAGATCTGAGACCTGCCGCCAGGCGGGGCCAGCACCCTGCGTCCAAGGAATAACATTGGCAAATCGAAACATGCAGCCCTCCTAAGGATTGCGCTCAGATCTCAAAACGTCTCAGAACTTCCAGCAGCAGGTAGGACACATATGCTGCCTTTCTTCCATTTGCAATAAGCATTAATTCCTGAAAGCCCAATGCAGAGCTGCAAAGACCATGCACATACATCAGCCAAATCTTGGAACAAAGGCTACAATGAGCATCCCTAAAACCCTGAAGCCCTTACTTGCTGGAGGGGCGGTCCGTGATAAAGTTGCCAACGTTCTGCTGGCCGCCCGGGCGTGAGTAGTTGTTGGAGAGACGACCCTGAGCGGCCTCTGCCGACTTGGCACCTGTTCTCTCGGCGTTCCAGAACACGTGGCAACTTAGGAAGATAGAGGATGCAGAAAGCCTAGTCGTTGGATGCCTACTTTGTACAGTTGAAGCAAAGTGGGTAACATGGCACGCCAACCTAGGCCCAGTGTCACAGACATCACTTGACCAGGTGTTATATCCAGATAAGAGATAAAAATGCCGTCTCTTTCACTCACCGGCCGTCACGGGACGACCGTCGGGCCCCACCACGACGGGGCTTCCATGACCGTAGCCATGCTGCTGGGGTGCTGACACCCCATACGGTGGCGCAGGGCCACTGTACGGCGCACCATGACCAACATTATGCGATGGCGGAGGCTGCGCGCCGTAGTCGCCAAATGAGATCTGCAAGGAAACAGAACAAACACAGCTGCTTTCTCGATTTGGCATTATCGGGTGTTGTGCCTTGAAAACGTGAAGGCCGTGATAGCACTATGTCTTGCGACAAACGGTTAGTCCAAGAGCTAATACAGCTAAAGGGAATCCGACTGTCTGACTGTCTAAATCTAAGCTTACACTGGTCCTACTTAATGTTAATCGTGTCATGTGAGGCTGCACGAAAAAACACTATCCACTCGGCCAATCAGCCAGCATTTGCGTATTTTTACGTTGTGCTATCGCGGAGTCTAGAACAGAACGGATACCCCAACGCAACCTCATATTGACCCTTGGACTTGCCTGTGATGTGCCGCCAGGTGGTGCCAAGACCCTACAAGGCATGAATTCACATAACAATTGATACTAAGGCTTTAGTAGGATTCTGTGATTGAGACATAAGCAGGCGCCTTCCGCTCACCTGCTTGACGGCCGGTCCGTGATGAAGTTGCCAACATTCTGTTGGCCGCCGGGGCGCGAATAATTGTTGGCAAGGCTTCCACCGCGGACATCACCTGATGTGGCGCCATAAGCGTTTGCATTCTGCACGACCCACATCACGGATAGGGATGCTTAAATCAGTTGGCATTTGGCCGAGGACAGTGTACGAACAGCATTGGGTTTGAGCCGTCTTCCTCTGGTGTCAAATCAGGCAGCTTGGATAAGGTCTGATGGGACGTACCATTGCCCCAACACTGCTGCTTTGCGCATGCGAAAGTAAGCAACGCCAAACGACAACAGGTTTAGGACTGACCTGCATAGACGAGGCGTACGGGGCTTGCAGCATCGGGGGTGGCTGCTGGTAATGGCCTGCAGGCTGCGGCTCTGTGTAACCCCCAAGCTGCACGGAGCTGTGGCCGCCAGGCGGCGCCGTCACGTGGCTCGAGGGCCGATCCGTGATGAAGTTTCCCACGTTCTGCTGGCCACCAGGGCGCGAATAGTTGTTGTTGTTGACACCTACAGCATGGGTTGCGCGGGGAGGGTGTCGAGATATCTCCTACGCACTTCGAAGCAGGGGGAAATAATTACGTCACAGTTCAACGGTAAATGCAGTCACGGCAGCTCGTGCCGGACGACTACAACATGGAAATTAAGCATCACCGTAGTGTATCAGGGACTGAAAGCAAAATCAAACAGGCCGAGCTGCTAACGTTGTCCGAGGAGCGCACCGGTTGTGTATTGCTGATAACCTTGTGGTGCAACAGCGTAACCCGGGGGCGTCGGCTGCTCGGGTCCTTCTCCAGGGACTTGAGTAGAGAAGTTGCCAGTAGACAGCATGTGTTGCTTAAGGCGATCTTCCAGTTGTTCTTTGCCGCCTGAAAGGGCAACGGCGGTCGCATGCGAAAACATGCTTGATACAAGTTCGTGTAAACAAAGCGCAAATGATGATCATGCTGTACAAACGTAAACCACAGCTATGAGCCACAGCATCCGCTGCAGTGTTTTGAGCGCCAGCGCGGGACAACGAACCTGCATACATACCTGCAGGATTCAAGGCCCTCCCGCGACATAGAAGCCTCAGATCCTTGATGGTTAATGGGCGCAAAAGCCGATCAACATCAGCGGGGGTCATGGTGTCGAGCCTGGGCCTGCGGTACATGTGCCGATGAGGAAAGGGGTAAGAGGAAAACAGCGAATCACCTCACTTGACCTTTCCTTAGAGTACACCGGTACGTGGCTTTTCCAAACATAACATAGGAGAATGGAATAAAAGAATTTCCTACCGTGAAGACCGCCGCTCCCCTGGTAAGTGTCGAAACGAGACGCGATATACCGTAAGAGCTTCAGGTGTGTGGAACACGAAGCGCTATTTATAGTTGCGGTGGCATTTATTACATATCGTCCCCTTCAGCAAATCGTTCCCATGTCACGACAATCCCGTACGGTCGGGTCAACCCCCGAGAGCCCAAGTTTTTGCAACCTTACAGAATGAATTAGCGAGATTCTATGACATCCTGTAGCACGTGTTTGCCTAGACCCCTACGCACGCGAAGCTGTGGCAACGGAACTACCCGCCGGGGCACGGGAACATATCGATGTTAAAAACCAGCCAGAAATGGATGAATGTGAGATCTGAAACCACCCATGCATTTGCTTGTAATGCTGCTTTTCCTTGACTGGACGTGAACACCTAGCACTACTCTGACCAACAAATGATGCTTGTGACTACAACTTGGAAGCTTTATGCATTCTTGTACTCCATGTTTGTTAAGGTCTGCTTAAAGCCTCGATAAGTTTGTCCTTTTCATCTCTGCCACCCACAGTGACGCGGAGTAAGGTCCAGCTTCAGCGCATAACAGATGACAGACTCCGTCAGGTGTGTTTATTGCATGCAACTTAGAGCGGCGAGGTACTTTGTTAGCTGGAACGCAGCCTGTCCCTTCACCTGCCTCCATCAGCAGGCGTTTCACGGTCGTGACCCAGTTTATCACCGCTACTTATAATTTCACCTTGCACCCCACTGTCCTGGCGGCGTTGTTATGCGGGCCGACCGTACTCTCGTCACACGTGGCCCCCGGACCCAGCGCTCACGCCCAGGAACATTGTACCAGTGCCAGGCTTGCCACTCTAATCAGGCCCCTTCCCACCTCTTCTGTGTTTCGGACGCATTTGCACAGGACATATTCGCCAGGCGCAAGCAGGGCCTGGTCAAAAAGGCCATGGAGCTGTCGGTGCTATGCGACTGCGAAGTTGGCCTCATCATTTTTGGTCGGGGGGAATCTGGCCCCGGGGGAGGTGGCCAACGACTCTACCAGTACTCATCCATCAATATGGACGAGTTACTGGAACGTTACGCAGCAGCGGTGGCGGAGCCACATGAGCGCCGAAAAAATGGCGAGGTTGGTCTACTGCCCTGGCACGGAGGGGACCACTAGGGGGCGACGTGGGACCGGAACTTCTCAACAGGGAGGGATTTAGGATTAAGGGGCACGCCTACGAGGCGACAGCTCTTGGGAGTTGGTACCATGGCGGACAAGCATTTGGAGAGGATATCTAGCGAAGAAGCAGGTGTGCGATCCTCGTTACAGGGATCAGAGACAACTTGGCCATTACCACGCACCCAGCGTCAAACGGCGGAATGTGTCAAAAGGGGGGCTTGCCTCCCTCTGTTGGTCGGCCGGGGGCCCTGCTGCTCCAAGCGTCTGCAATCCAAATGTACCAAACCCGACTTCACCTAGATGTTGCAATTTAAAGACTCCTGTCCCGTGTGCGCCGCTTCGGGAACTGTGGCTCGTAGCAGACAAGGAGTCGCGAAGATTCCACATTCGCGCAGCATACATATACTCGCCTATTTTTTGCTGTTGCAGCTCCTGCGGCACTACTACGAGCTTTCGCCGGACGAGGATGGAGAGGAGGACGACGGCGGCGCATCGACGTCTCTTGCCGCTGCCGCAGCCAACATGGCGGCGGTGGACAGCATCATCCTGGCGGGCGGAGGGCGTCGCATAGACAGTCGCGAGGTTCCCCCGGGCGTGCTGAAGCGTATGGTGAGAGTCGCGTGGGCCTTTCAGCCGGGATGCATCGGGGCACGGTTTTACCAGAGCTTATCGTGTTTCGCCCCCCCTTTCCCTAGGCGTCGTTTCTGGAAGGGGTAGACCCGCGGGGCAGGGCACATCCCTAGCCTTGTTGAGTGCGCACAACCTCTCCTCTTGGCCACAGCTTGCTGCGGCGCCGCCTGTAGCTTGTAGCTTACTACGGTCCTTGGGGAGGTGATGCCTCACACCCACGCAGCTGTGCGCATTAAGGACTCTAGGCTATGTTAAATATTATCTGTCGCGGGTGCAATACAGCACAGCTGCTCACACTGTGGAGCCAGTCCTTTCAACAACAATGCTAACAAGTTGCATTCATCTATCTACATGTGCGATTAAGACAATTTATGCGGCTTTTGGCCCCGCACCCTCGCTGCCGTCCGCTACTTTCTGCATTCCAAAATGCTGGTCCCAACGCAGCGCATGAACAGCCCGAGTGGCTTCGGAGCGGGCGGAGTTCTCACTGACCATATGCCCGCGGGTGCCAGCGGCGTGCCGAGACCGATGCAAATGGGGGGTTCGGGGCTCCCTGGAGCGCAGATTGGGCACCTTGCGGTCGGGCAAGGCGGCATGATGAGCAATGGCATGGGGTCCTTGGTACCGTCTGGGCCGGGGGCCCCGCTGCGGCGCGTGGGGGGTCCCTCCATCCCGTTGGAAGGCATTAAGGCTGCTGGCTTCCTGGATAAGCGGAACTACCCGGTAGGTGTGGCACCTTGTTAACGGTCATACGTCATAGTGTGAAAATGTGTGCAGACGTGGGACGGGCGGTGTTGACCCAGAAACGCCTTCAGCAGCACAGGGCAAAGCCTCTTGCACAAAATACGTTTACCTTGACGCACCTTCCTCTTCACCGTTTCGTCATCAGCATTGTTGTATTCCCTGCCTGGGCCCATTTTTTCATGAATCGGCCAATTCCTTGGGGTGTTTGACGAATCGGCCGGCCATGTTGAGGGCATATTGCTGTTCCCTGCACCTGTCCTTTACCTGTTCCTCACTACCTAAAATCCTGCTTCTTCCCCCGCCACTGTTGCGCAGGTGAGTCCTCGTAGTGACAAGGCGTTTGAGGAAATCACTGCCGAGTTTGACAAAATCACCGAGTCGCGGAGTCAGCGGGCGGGTAACAGCGGTCGCCAGGTGTGTTGGGTGCGGAAGCTAAAGCCATATATTCATTGTGGCTGACACAGCGGCACTGGTCTCGCGGTTTGTCCAGCTTGTTGCTTCTAGGGAGAGGAAGGAATAGGGCTTGGGATGGTGGCTCCCAGATGTAACATTGCGCTCGTCAGACGGTCTGCCACCCTGCGATTTGCCTCGTTCAGCTTCTCCCTGCAATGCAAAGTCGCGTTGTTCCTGCCTTGGCTGGCCGTGGGAGATAGCCTGGCATGTGTTGGTTGCGGCCATGCAGATGGGTTTCCTTAGAGCTCGGAGAAAAAGGGGGCCGGCTGGGCAGGATGTGCGGGTCTGGCACAATTGGTTTGGTCGCGGCGTGTCTCTGGGGGTTCCTGCATGCCCTTTCGTGTCCCGTAGGTCGTGATGCCCCGCCTAGTGACTTGATCTACCCCTTTCGCCCCAATCGCATTCCCACAGAATACGCCCACCGTGCTGCAGCCCCTGTCGTCAACTCTTGCAGCGCAGCAAAAGCAGTTGCAGCAAATCCTGCAGCAGCAGCGGCAACAGCAGCAACAGCCGCAGCAGCAGCAAGCAGGTGGTGCGAAGCGTTTCAAGCCGTTATCGATTATGGTTCCTGAGCTCCAGACGCATCCCATCATCCCCACCAATCTCACGCCTCTGAGTTCCGCACCAGTTGCCGGCGTTGCGGCGCCCGCAGCGCCCCCAGGCGCCGGATCAGAGTCATTAGGGCACGTTGGGGCCAACGGCAGTGGACCTCAAAGGCCACACTTGCAGCAGCAACAACAGCTTCAGCCGCACCCCTCCTCGCCCTTCAACAGCAGTCTTCAGCACGCGCAACACTCCCAGCACCACCACCAACAGCAGCAGCAGCAGCAGCTCAGTAGCCCCCAGCAGCAACAGTTAGGTGTTAATCTTCCTCCCCGGCCACCTCTCGGGCGTTTGGGGATAGGGCCCCGCCCGCCGTACCCTCAGCCGCATGGTTCGCCGCTGATAGCTGTCAGCTCGGGCACCCAGCACGGCAATCAAAGATTTCCAGGCTCGAGCACAAGCCCGCCCGGCCCGATGGCTATTTCGCCTACTGCGGCAGCTGCCGGGCCGCAGCTCAGTGCCGCCGCCAACGGGCCTGGGGAAGCCGGCGCGTTGGCAGTGCCAATGGAAGTGGAGGGGGGTGATACGGGCAGCGGCGGCAATGATAGCGGGGCCGGCCACGGTCCATTTCTCCTAGGTCGCCGAACCGGCGGCGCGCTCGTTGAAGACGGGTTAGGCTCTATGCTCGGTGCCTCGGCCTTCAGAACGTCCTTAGACGGCTCTGCAGCCCTATTGGCAATGCCCTCGCCGCCGTCGCACGGCGGCACAAATGCGTTGTTCGGCTCTCTTGATGGGGGTCCCCTCAGCATGCGCAGCAGCGGTCATGGTATCCTGGGCTCATTGAGTTCGCTGGATCGCGGTGCATCGTTGGGGCTGGGCGGCTTGGCCATGAGCCTCGAATCGCCGGGCGGACCCATGGGTCTCGACACGGCGCTGCGGGGCCTGGCACCGATGGACGGTTTGGACTGGCAGTCGATGTCGCCAAGGTACGATATAGTAGGAACGATGAGACCGGATGGGGGGATAACGGAATACCGGGACCAGGGGAAAGGGGCTGCGTGCATACATTTCAGAGATAGGAGAGGAGCCAGCGTTGCTGCTTCGGCAAAGCAATGCTGGAAGGCCGCAACGACGAGTAGGCTAGCGAGCTATGCGGCTGTGGGCTGGATAGCCTGTGGAATGTGGCCTTTGTAGCCTCTTGGAGAGGGCGCCATTTGTGAGGTCGTTCAGACGTTACCAGGTGGCCGGCCGGGTAGGCTGTATGGCCACACGCATCTTCTGCCTCCATCGCGAGCTCTGTGGTAAGGGCTTGTCTTATGGGTTCACTTGTTGGGTCATCCGTCCGTCTCGTCCCTGCACAATACTTGCCCTGATGCCGTCCAGTACTGGCAACGGCGACGGCCAAGCTGGGGGCGGCGGCGGATTCTCGGATGAGGGCGAGGGCGGCACAGTTTTGGACGGCCTTATCGTCCGCGGTACGGCGCTGTCCAAGCTGGCGCCGGAGGCACTTGAGGCGGCCATCGGGCCTTCGCCGGACGCCGGCGGGGGGGGGACGCCCACGTCTGCACGGGCCCGGATGTCGTTATCTGCGTTTAGTGGCCATGCCGTGACCTCCACTGCCGCCGCCGCGGCGGGGAATCAGCCTGACGCCGGGACCTCTGCTGACCCATATCCACAACCTCTGTTGTCGTCGGGCCGTGGAGGGGTAGCGGGACAGGACGCGAGCGCGGGCGCCAGTACCGGCGCCGGTACAGCACAGGAGAGGCAAGAAGCAGCAGGGGGGCCGGGTACAAGAACGCCGGGGGAAACAGGGTCGAGTCGTGGCGGCAATGCAGGTATGGCTGCGGCGGGCTCTATGGGTTTAACACCAGAGCTGAGTCTAAACGACATGGGCTTCGGTGGGGGCTCAGCAGACGCGGCGGCGGCTGCTGCAGCTGTGGCCGTTCCGGGGCGGCAGGGGGAGGGGCGAGGGACCGTTTCAGAGGTGGGGAGGGCGCTCAATCTCTCAGGGGGGTCCCGGACGAATGCGACGCAGGACGCTTGGGGGCCGTTGGGGTAGTCACAGGGAGGCAGTTTTCAGGCGGTAGTGGGCCTTAACCTGGGATGCCAACTCATTAAGGTGCCTCCAATGTGCAGCGTACTTTGGCCTGTGGTGCATATGATGTTGACGCCAGTTGGTGCATAAATATATATGGGCCTGAGGCACATAAGGAATGTTGTCTGACGCATCGTTGCTGCCTAAGACTTGACGCATTTGCGGGGACTACCCAATGTTAGTAGTAAGTACGGTGACGTGCTTTTCGCGATGAGAGCGTACTGTGTGAAGCGCACCGGGATAACGGGACAACTTGGTTGCATTGAGGACTGAATGCCACACGCCAGTACCCATATCAAGGGGAGCGAAATGATCGTCTTGCATATGCCTTGTGGGTCAGTGCCAATTTGGCAGTTCGTATGTTCCTATATCCTGTTTTCCCTAGGGGTTGCAAGCGCGTACATATTTGAACGTATGAAACTTCACATTTAATCAAATACTGGGTTTGAACCGATAGCGAGACATCGTCTTAGTGGGAGCGGAAACGCACTCTGCGACACCATGGTGACAGAACTGAACTTGTGGATGTTGCCAACGTGGGGGCTGAGTCTGGCTGAGCGATTAGTACCTATTGTTCACGAGAGGTCAAACTGCAGGTTAGTTGCTGGATAAGCGGGACGTTACTTTGCTATGTCTGCTGCTTTTGTATCTGCCGTTCCCGACCGCTTCATGCCGGTGCAAGAACAGTTTCTCCGTTCAGGGATTTGGTGTGTCAAATGTCGACCCACGTGACCGGCTGGACGTACTGGACGCTTGAATACCAGTTTACATTTCAGCAGAAATCAGCAAAGTATCCACGTCGAATCGTCACAGGCCCCGCGGCTGCAGCAACTCCCCAGGCCGACAAGCATAATCGCCGATCCAGCTCTCCAACCAGTGCTTACTTCTTCGCCTTCCGCACGCGGATGCTCTTGTGCACCGCAGCAGCACGCGCCTGAGCGGCAGCCTGTACGGAGTGCATGTATAGTCGTAGTATTAGGACAATAAACGGATGGTGTAGGCAGTTGACAAGCAAGCATGCAACCATACCCGCAATTGTTGTTTGCACTTGCGGCGTCCATGCAACATACACACCCGACAGCCTTAATCCAGCTGCCTATCTATAGGTACAGTTCAGACGTCTAGCGCATCTCATGACTTACTTCTCTCCTCACTGTGCACGGATCACGATACCACGGTACCCAGATATCAATATCAATCAACAGATGCTGGCCACCACACTGGAGAATTTGAAAACTGCTGAATCTGCATCCAGTACTTGCCCAGACCCCATGTGCGTGCACCCCTCTTAGAGCGGACACGCCAAAGTGATCTACAAGCTTACCTTCAAGTCTGGCCGGTAGGAGGCCACCTGCTTGCCAACGGCCTTCAGCACGGCGCGGCCGTCCTTCTTAATAATCACGCTGCAGGACAGGAAGAAAACACAACAGAGCGGACAATATAACTATGTAGCTTTAACACCACTCCAGATACTATGTGCAGTAATTCGGTTCAGGGCACGAGGTTACTCCTTATATCAGCCTGACATAGGCGTCGCTGTCTAAATGATGCGATGCTTGTGCCGGCGTCGTGCGATGAAGCTTGCGCACAAGCATAAACCTCCGGTGTGACGCGATGTATGAAATCCCTTAAGCGCAAGACAGGGCCAGCTGACCGAGGGACTGAAGGACACGCTGGTCGCAAGTTCACGTCACCTACAGTCCCCTGAACGATGAACCCCCTCCTCGCGTTGCTTTGCGGGACCCCCCCTTTTTGCACAACTCCTGTCCCGCTCTCACCTGTGCTTGGATTTCTTGGGCTGTTGAGCCGTCTTCACGCGGCCAACAGAGAACTTAACATTGTCGCCCTCAGCCTGGATGTCCACAACCTTGGTGTTCGCCAGGCCTACACGGAACGGATCGCCCAAACTTGGAATTACGATCCCTAAACCGGATAATGGCGACACACGCAAACTAGAAGAACCCTTCGATTGCATGGACGCGCCAGGTCCACGCCGTGCAGCTGACATAGATGAAATGCTTCCAATCGCCAGTGATTTTTGGAGATACCTAGTGGGACACCAAATCAAAACGCCCGATGCACACACGGTCGGTCGCCGTCGCCGCCAGAATAGTCTTCTCATTCACCGCCACCGGACAGCCATGAGCATGCAGTGCTATGCAAACTAGTGTTGCAGCGCAACAAATTTACCAGAGAACTTGTAGCTGTGCTTGTTGTACAGGTTGCCCGGCTCAGCGCTGAAGACCAGGCCCTTCACGCCCTTGCGCATAAAGCTGTTGTGCTTCTTGACAACCTCCCAAACAAGCTGGGACGACATTTTTGCTGGCCTGTAACGAGAAACGTCCGTTTAAGGCGGCTTGCAGTGTTAACGCCTCGACAAAGCTGCACAAAGCTACTGATTACGTACCGGAAAGGTAAAACCGCACTCTACACGGGGGAAAGGGGACAGACGGATGCAGAAGCGGCACTATGTTTCGTTGGGATGCAACGAAAAACGTAGCCACCCCTGGAGATGGACCCACTTGAGCCGTCCAAGAATATTAGCGCAATGCTTATTACTTCAATGTGAATAATGTCCTATTAAATGGTTGCATGTTTGGGAAGAAAGCTGACTCGGACCTGCGAAGCATAGCTAAATACGGCTAACGAAAGCGGCCTCAATTAGTTCGAGGTTGGACGGAGACAAGGATGGAAGGGGAGGGAGCTTTAGGGACGAGTGCACAAAGGAAGATATGGGTTTACGGAAACTTTTCTGCGGTGGTTTCCCGCATACCCGGCCCAACGACACTACCAAGTTATACAAGGCCACCCGCACCTCTAGTCGTTAGGCCAAGCTGTGGCATGCTCCTAGAACTCCACAGCTTTCGAACGGTACGTAAAGACGGATGCTAACAATCTGCTGGCATCTCCTTACGCTACTGTGCAGTTGAGGACTAGAGAGAAAACAATTGGAGAGGTGGGACCTTTCAACTGTAGACCTTGGGGTGCAACATGGTGCAGAATGTCCCCGATCCAGCCCAACTTTACTTTCACACCGCCCTGCATGCCCTCGCTGGATTGCTGCATTCTCGCAAGTCTGCGTCTGCTGCATCCCGTCCACGGCCCCTTGCCGTACAGGTGCGCGACGAGCCGCTAGCGCATCAGGTACCGAGCCGCTTTAGTTAAAGGATATTTATGTACGAATGTTCAGCAGTAGGTGGTGCTACTGAAGACGTACTTGATGGAAAAGTCAGTTGGACCGCTTCAGGGAGGCTTCACGTCTGAGCCGGGTAGTTGCGCGGCAGTGCGTCCACGTAAGACCCAGAAACATCCATCACCATGAAGGTTTTCAGCAGTATGACAGTAATTTATCGGCCGCACAGCCCTTCCTCGCACAGCGCACTTCCCTGACTGAAAGTTACATCTGCCCGCAGGCAGTCAGTGAAAACCTCCCAGAATACCTCAAATGGGTTTTCGACGTACAACCCTAGCAAGTGCCAAGTAGTGCTCGTGACCGCTTCATGGCTGCTGATTCCAGCGCAGCGGGTTTCCCCTTACCGCCACATCCACGTCGTACAACATAAATCATACCATTCAGCGGCTCCGTTTCGCGCACCCGCATGTCGTCTCCTAACACATAACATAAAAAATACGGACCTGTACGGGCTCACGAATCAGGATCTCGTAACTAACTACAAAAAAACATGTCAACCCCCGAAAGCGCACACTTCTATGTGCGGTACTTGGCCCTGTAGCTGTCTCTACCCACACTACAGACATAAAAACCGTGCTTTTGCAAACACAGTACAAATATGTTAATGTACATAATCCAATACGATGCCCCTCTGAAGTGCATAAGTTCATGAGTACTAAACATGTTCCTGATGCGCCTTGTGGACCTCCCCAACACAGTGTTTGTTGTTGAACGGCCACAGCTTGCAGTGGAGCTACAAGTGCTCGTGACACGATAGCACCAATTAATTAAGGTTTGGACAATCCGGGAGAAAGCTACAGTTTTATATCCATATGTCGCTAGCGCATCCTTGGCATGCACGAACAGGCACTTAGCTTTCACGAGGCGGACGGACGGCTTCACGATTCCCAACTTGCTTTATCGCAACACTTTGCAGTGCCCCCCAAAAGCACACACAAAATTCGCAAGGATCCACATTTTTGCCTGGCGCCACCGCTTTCCACCACTAACAAACTCCCCAGGCAAACCAAGGTGGGTCACGTGACAGGGGAAAAGACGCAACGCATTTCGGCACGGATACCTCGAGGAACCACTCCGCTATGCCGCTGGGTCTCCCAAACCGCATCCCGCTCGAAACCCTCTCGGCGGTGCGCTCGTCCAAATCCTCGACTATAGCCAAGTATAGCCAAATAAGGCTAATGTTGCCATATTCCCGCACATATGCCAGACTACCTAGAAGCCCTAGAAGTTCCATGGCCGTGAAAGTTCTGCATGAGCTGAACTAAACATGCACTAACCATGCAAATGGGCCGGACCTCAAAGACCGGACCACCACACCAACTTCAGGATTCCGCGCTGGTGGCGCACCAAGAGAGCAGTAGCTTGTCCCGAAACTAACGTGCATCCATTGACTCGACGACAAGGTGTTAAATGCCACGATGCCGGCTGCGGTGCACGTGTCTGAGTCACCTCCCCCGCCGTGTGTCGGCCTCTTCTCCCTCGCTCAGTCTACGGGCGGCACCTACTTCAAGGCCCTGACCATTCGTTAATCCCGTACGCCAGCGGGGTAGAGGCAGTCGCCGATCGCTTAGAAGGCAATGACCCTGCCAATGACGGAAACGGATGCAGGGGGGTTAGGCTAGCCAGCGGTAGCGCCACACCGTCTGGGTGCAGCCTTCTGTTTACTTTTGCAGTGATTAATGTAACGAAAAGCTGTGTGCACGCGACGTCTTTTTGGCATGTGCACGACAATCAATATCCGTACCTGCTCTCGTACTTTGGCAGTCCATCTGAGCGAGTGCTACGTTTGGTGACGTTCGTCCCGCCCGTGGTGTTGAACTTTTGCGTCAGAGTTTTTAAAGTATCCAAATGCGCCTGAGGTCGGACAGCGGGTTGTCCCGAGTAAAGCTAGGTGGTGGTAAGACGGGTACCCAGGGATGCGATAAGTGGACACACAGGCTCAAGGGATATTGCACAATCAAACATCCAGAGCCTCAGTAATCATTGCTAGCTCTTAAAACCTGAAGGGGCCTTCAGGGTGTGTGGTTGATGGCGCGGTAGATAGGGCGTCCAAGCCGGCGTGAATCTCCCGGAGAATTAGCAACTGGTGTGCCAAATTAAATCATTCGTTGCGAAGAATTTTTGCCGGACTGATGAAGGACACCCTTAAGCACAAGAGGATAATCTAAAGTGTCCATAGCAGTTAGCTGCTCGGTCTGCAATATTTTATTTTTGTTGAAATGTGCACAGACGCAGGCAGGCAGGCAGGCAGGCAGGCAGGCAGACGGACAGACGGACGGTTCCTCCGCTCCTTAGGAGCACTTCACGGTGAGTGCTGCACGCAAAAATATAGAGCGTCGGACCTTTCTGTCCCCAGAATGTGGGCGCGAATGGGTATGGGGGTGTGACTTATCACATCGCGCAGGGCCATCTGAATCGCATAGTTAGTGCCCTTCTGGCCGTCACAGTCTCAAAACCCTGCCAGATAGTAGAGTAGTACATGATAGAGAGGGCTCGCGAGACAGGAATACAGGTTAATCCAGTAAGGGACATTGCCAGTCCTCGCCTTCCCTAAACACACTCACCACAGGTTCTCGGTACTCATCCACGTACTCAGTAAGGTATGACTGTTTGGTGGAGGGAGAGTGGCAGGGAGGACGGGTGAAGGAGGGAGACAGGAAGGAAGGAAGGCGAGGATCCAGGCGCACCGCATCAGACGGGTCGGCGCCGGGCAGCAAGGGCAAGCACCTCGGACGGGAAAGGTATGGACGGCAGGGACACTACTGTGTGCTGCCATTATCACCGGTATATCCACCCCAGCACTGACCTTATATGCGACCGGCGGTAGCCCGCTGGAGCCAAGCGTGTTGCAGAGCGGTTTTCCTGTGCCGCTCAACGACCCCGTTGCGGAAGGGCCACTGTAGCGATATGTCGCACGCCCATCAGGCGCAGAGCCGACTCGCTCCGCTGTCGCGCGAAAGGAGTAAGGGCTCGAGCCATGCCGGGAAGCCAAGGCTGCGGTTGCAGGTGTGATGGTGTACTTCGGAACGTATGGAGGCAGCTCAGGGCGTTCTCCATGGAAAACAGTATAAGTCGAACTAGGTTGTGGCCATTGCTGCCGCGTGTGAAAGGAGTATATATGCCGGAAATTGGGATTTGTCGAGTTATCAACGCGAGTTGTGCGCTCCATCCTGAGCTGGCTCCAGCAACCTACTCCTTTTCCTTCAAAGTAATAATTGCTAAAGTCAAAACAAACCAATAATGTTTTATTTTGTAGGAGAGCTGCCGAAGGGACTTCGACACACCTGCGCTTGCGTATAAAGCCGCGATAAAGCGAATATGTTTAGGCCTGTTAAGCGAAATTTTACATTCAACTTCAAGAAATGATGACTTGAATAGTGCCTTAGCCTCCTAGCTTTTGTACTCATCGATGTTACTACTTGATTTGCAGGACGACGGCCGTACGCCCAGTTTCTCTACCCCATTTGTTCTGCAAAAACCTACAGAACTGTACAGTCATAAAACATTCCAAATGTTTTACCAAGCATCGGCGTTGATGAGGCTTTTGCACGGGTGCCTTAGGAACATTACTCGAGAACCAGTGTTGTCGGTCGCTACAGCCTGTGCAATCAACAATGTCATGATCGAGGATAAGACCTAACTTTTGTTTCATTGAGCTCCCCTTTGCATCCGTTGTCCCAGGGGTCCCGGTTCAACGTGCACATGGATTCTGAAGGAGCCAACAACGCCTAGAACCACATTTCGCTCGGATCTTACTGACAATAATAAGGCTAGACAGATGCTCCTGTCCCTGGCCATCCGAGCGACAGTAGTGTGCAAAGGCCATCTGCGCCACGCCTCGCCTTGCCTTCCCTTGCTGGGACAGTTCGACTGGAAGCTATGAGGGACATGTCAATCCATCAATCCAATTTGGATGTAAAGGCATCCTAGGAAACCTTGGACCATTTTTTGGCAACCACCGTATCAACACGTTCAATCGGTGACTGCGAAACTGGCGATTTCACATTTTGATGAATGCTGGCCTGGATCCGCGGGCAACCCGTCACCAATCCCCGTGCAAACTGAATGGGGGGGGGAAAGGGAGGGAGGATGGGATAGCGATGGACACTTTGGACATTCGCTTGAGGACGTGGACAGTGCGGACCTTTGCGCCGCGTTTTGGATGGGCCGTCACCAGTTTTAGACCGCGGGATACTCCAGGCTGCCTTTTCGGGACCGCTGTCAGTAATTGATTTGCCCTCTGAGTCCAAGGGGGTCGAATACCAAGTGGTAGCCCCTTACAATAACCGTGCCCGCCTTGCTTGCACCGGGTCCATGTAATGCCGTCTGTTGCTCCTACATTCAAATATTTTGTTTACTGACTTGCTGAGGTTTGCGTAAAAGGCAATAACTGATCCGCAAAACCGCATATGGGTCCGCCTACGTCTGGCCTTTTGCAACTGACAGAATCTGGCACTCGCCTTAACATTTAACCACAAATACTTCAAGCAAGAATTATTATGCGTTCCACCGTACCCCAACTTATGCCGTGGAAGAGAAATCGCGGAATAGCGCCGATGGACGTAGTCGAGAGTGCGTCAGGAAACTGCAACCACGACTTGAACGATGGGAATGGATATGTAATTCGTCATCATCATGCAATCTAATTTGCAAAAGGTAATGCGCCTGGATTGCGAACGCGGCGGAGGCGAAAGTGCTCGCTTTAGCACATGAAGCCACATTGAGCCCCAAACCTGTATGAAATTTATCTGCGAGATATAAATGAGCGGAATCTTTGCCTGTTATGCACAGACATGGCCACAAGGCCAAGGCCGGATGGCGCGTCGTGCCCTTGCACTAGGTATGTAAGAATCAAACTTAAAGCGGGTAGGTTACTAAACGTTATCTATATTCATGTCCAATACATCCAACTTACATTCCGTGCGTCTAGGATGATTCCAGAAACCATACGTAGTCAGTCACGGTGCAGGTGCACGAATGTCGACCTGGCTCCCTAAGACTACCCCGACATCCAAATGACGCTTTGTGTAGTTATTATCTGTAAGGAAGCCAGCGGGATAAGTCAACTCTGGCTGGCTTCCTCATGGCCGTACCAACTGACGAGGTCGATTTGTGAGCTTGCAACTAGACATCATGTAAGGTAGCTGAATTACAGTGTTAACTCTCGCGTTTCGATAAAGCTCCACTCTTCGCTGAGGTCTGTAACTGGCATCCCATAGGCCATCCAGCTGTCTTAGCTTCGCCCTGGCAGTTGTCCCAAGAGTTTACTGGATTGTGTTTATACGTATTTATAGCACTTAAGCTTTTGTTATACATGTGCTCTTCGTGGAGGAAATGCGAGGCTGAGTGAGGTGAACAACGGTTATGCTTACGAAAAGGGTGCCCATAAGTGATTATCTGAATAGTGAGGGCTTCAGAGGTTTACCTCGCTATGGTTAAGGGGAGACGCGCACGCAAATCTGTACGTGCTTTCGGTGTAAGGCCGGCATGCTCAACCGGCGTCATCCTATTAGGATGCCACGGGAAATAACCTAGGACGGTTAGTAGCAGATATTCATCCACGGTTAATAGTAACTCGGTGGGTTCTGTGACTTGCCTGTTTGCGTCAGCCTGAGTGCTCCGCAACCCTCTTGTATGCATCCTTGACTTTTAGGGATGTGTCACTGAGGCGCCGTATACAGCCATCAATGCGAGACGCTGGCATCTCCTTTGCGTAATTATCGGCGGTAAATGGCAATGGCGACTGCCTGCACATGTCAAAACAAGGCCTCTGCCCTAAACCACTGATCAATGCCTGTAACTAGCTTAATGGACAGCGACTCAGCTGCGTCACCACCTCCTGCAGCGTCGTCATCGCCGCGCGCAGCGCGCCCGGTCACCCCATCGGTTGTCGAAGCGCGCGTTCTGCATAGGTCCTCAAAGTCCGCCGTCTCCAGGTCCGCAGAACTCGATCCTAATCATTTCTCATATCTGAATGCCAACAAATACGGCACGGAGCGGCTCGTGACCTCACCCGATTTGGGGGGATTTACGGACTTGGAGCAGCTCGTTTGCCCTCCACGCTGCAGCAGTAGCAGTGGGGCTGGCGGCAGTGTCAGCAGCAGCGGCGGCCTGGTGCCGCAGCCGCCCCTCTTTGGTGCTCCTGCCATCGGCAGCACGAGCCCCCGACTGCGCTCCTTTTCATCATCTCGCGCCCTTCCCTCAGTCCGTGCCTCCTCGCTATCCGTCAGCCAGCTGCCCGATGTCGGCGGCGAGGCGGACACTACGGGTGAGCTCCGTCTGGCGCAGTCGCCGCGGTTGGGCGCTGTCAAGGGGGGCGCGACGGGGGCAGCTGCCGCAGTGGTGGACGCCGCCGCTGCAACACCACGCCGCCCCGCCAGCAGCAGCAGCAGTGGTGCAGCCATTCAGCCCTCCGGCGGCACAAGACCGTCCCCGGTAGGCCCGCCAGCTCCAGGGACGCCGCATGGCGGCGGTACAGCCGCTGTACGGCAGTCATCGCTTATTGGTGGGAACGATATGGTCCCCAGAATGGCAATAGCTGAAACAGCGGCAGCCGGTGCGCCTTCTGTCTCTTCAATTAATGTTGAACCAGTTCCGGTCGGTACGGATACATGGATTGCACTGAGAGCTCAGGATTGCATGGCGGCGTACGGCAGCAACCTGAGCAGTAACGATGACGAGGATGACGACGTCAACGACGGTCACGTCATCAATGACGGCAGCGACAGCGGGGGCGAGCCATTGCATGGCTACCGCCGTGTAGATCCCGGCCCTGGGCGGCTTATATTCGTTCGACACCCATCACTGGTCACTACGCGATGCGATCTGAGCCGTTTATACAGCGGCGATACGGCAGCGGTAACGGCCTTGACGCCCCAGGTCTCGGCCGTGCAGGCGACAGTTGCCCTGGCTTCTCCGGGCCCGCAGCACAGCCTACTCAAAGACAGCAGGTCCGCGACGGCGGCCTCCGCTACTGAAGCTGTAACAGTGAACGATGCCACCACCACTTCCAGCCCGTTCGTAACCACCACGGCTGTAGCGCCATCGCCGCGCACTGACACCGCCGCTGCATCTACTGCCGACCCAAGCGGTTCTACTGCCGCCACCATCACCGTCACTGCCGCCGGGCCCATTCGGAATGCGGCACCGCCTGGCTGTAGCAGTGAACCGGGGTTACCCGCCCCCAGCCCCGCCGCCCCCAGCCCCGCCGCCCCCAGCCCCGCCGCCATCGCAGCAGCAGGCAGCGGCGACGCCAGTGTTCGAGATTCCATATTCACCACCATGGGTGCGAATGCCGTCGAGTCGGCGCCTCCTTCCATGTCACAGCTACAGCAGGTACAGGTGCAGCTGCCGTACAGGGCGGCAGGTGCCCAATCTGGCTCCAGACCTCCGCTGCAGCGTCAGGAGGCCGCACGGGGTGCCGTACCTAGCGCGGCAACCGTCAGAGCTTTGGGCCCATCCGCTGCTGAAGGACTTGGCCAAGTTGGTTCAGTTGGTTCAGGATCAGCACGATCATCCTTGGAGGCCGAGCTGCCGCAGAAGCTGCTGCTTCCGCCGCTGGCGGAGTCTGTCGACGGCGGGGTTGCTGACACCGGTACGGCAGGCCAGCGGGTATCGGAGAGCAGCGGCCTGGTGGTGGCGTCCTGCAGCATCTTGGATGCGGCAGCTCTGAGTGTCGATCCCGTCCGCAAGCGGCGGCTATCGGCGGACGGCCTTAACCGTCATGCCAGCAAGTACGGCACCACAACTACTGCCGCCGCGGACCAGGAAGGTCGGGGAGGAATTGGTGGCGCCGGCAGTGCCGCGGACGCGACGCCGCCGGGGGTTGTACGACCAGATGTACTGCCGGCGGCAGAGCGGCCAGTGGCCGTCACCTCCTCCAGCCCGAGTACGAGCAGCAACACAAGCTCATCCCCATCTGCCGGATCGAGCCGCGTCCCGCTGATCACGGCCCTCACATTTGAGAGAGCTCCCTGGAGTCAACCCGGCGGCGGCAGCGGCGGCGGTCAGGCCAGCGGCGGCCCGTTCGCGCCAGCGACACCGGGTGTCGCCAGTTCTCATGCCTCTGTGAAGCTGCGCCAACCTCCGGTGTCCCCGAGGGTGGCGGCGCCGGCGGCTTCTGTGCGGATGCCTGGCCGGCCGCTGAGCTTAGCGCCACCGCAGCGACCGCAGCTTATCCTCGGAGTACCACCAGCTACGAACTCAATCACAGAACACACGACGGGGGACTCGACGGGCTCTGCAGTGCCTACCGTAACATCGGTCGATAGGTTGCGCGGGTTTAAGTCCTCCCGGGTGCTAACTAAAACCACCACGTGGGCTTCGCCTTCAGCAGCCCCTATCAACCTGCAGGGTGGCGCCGGCGCCGGCGCGCCGGACGTCATGTCCACCTCCACCTCCACCATCATAACGACTGCAGGTCGGGGAGCATTGGTGATGGGCGCTGGCTCTCCATCGTCACCGCGGCCGAAGCTGGGCTCGTTCATGTCGATGAGGAGTCCCCGCTCGCCTGCATCCTTTCTGGAGCGCCTCAGCAGCAACACTCTCGCAACCACAACTCGCGTCAATAGCAGACGCACCATTGGTGGCGGCGGCACCTCTGCCGCCACCTCGGCCGCCGCAGTGGACTGGGTGCCGGAGAGCAGCAGCCACCGCCACAGCTTCCGCCGCCGAGATGGGTCGTGTAGCCTCGACGGCTCAGGTTGCGACATTTGGGTTGCGGATACAAGAGCCTCGGCGCTGATGAAGCGAGGCGCGGAGGGTGATCATCTAGTGCCGGGCGCCGGCGGTGCAGCAGCAGGGCCTGCAGCTCCAGCAGCGGTGGCGGCGGTGGCGGCAGGTTACCCTGACTGGTCCGCGTCGCTGGGAGGTGGCACATCCGCGGCTGTAGCTGCATTGCACGGCAAGCGCAGCTCCAAGCAGCTACTGCCCCGGGGGTTGAACGGAGTGCCGCTGGCTTGGCTGGCTATAGAGGAGGATGGGCGGGAGGGCAGTGACGGCAGCGGACGTGAGGAGCCAAGGGTGCCTGGCGGAGGTGACAACACTGACAGGGCTGCCGGCGGCAATGCCAAGGCCGACGTTCATAACGCTGGTAATAGCAAGGCAGGTGGGGTAGCGGCCGTTGCGGACTTAGGACTGTTGGGCAGGAAAGCGGATGGGGATGGTGGACAGGAAGGTAACGACAGGAATGCTGCTATAGCTAATGACGCTGCAGAGGAGGAGGAGGAGGAGGAGGATGGGTTCAACCTCGCGCGCGCGGATGTGTGGATAGACCTACACCAGACATGCTGAAGGCTCGGGGGCTAAAGACAAAGGTCTTAAGGAGCTGGTTGACTTGAAGGGTACTGTTTTCGTGGGTTTAGGCGCTTCACCAAAAGAAGCGCCAGTGTGCAGGACGGTGCCGTTTCAAAGGGTAAGGCGCCATGCGCGTTGGAGACCTCTTTTGATTGTGTACAACGCGTTGTGTAGAGTATCGTTTGTGAGCCACTCGAGCAATATTCAACTATCGAAACGACTACACAACACCGGGGGTTGGTTCGGTCCCACCACAACCCGTTTCAACCCACTCCCCTCGTTTGGTGCTTTGTGACCCCCCCTGGAGGGTATAAAATCCGGCAGGTACTACATCCACATACACTCCATATGCCGTGAAGGCATTTTCATACGCTGCTTGCATGCACATCCATACCCCTTGTATATCAGTTAGACGTGTTATGCAAGTCGGTCGGACTCCTCCTCCAAACACAATGCAAGTGTGCTTGCTCCTAATCACAGTTATTTTTACCCAATAACCCTGAAGTACTCATCACTAAGTGCCCCTTACCTACCTACTACCAACCACAGCCTTGGCAAATGCGCGCGTGTTGGATTCTTGTTAGCGCGTGTTGCTCTGTGATGATAGGAAAAATAAATTCAGCTGCCACTATTCCCGGCGGTCATTAATCCGCATATGCTTTAATGAACACGACGCGTGTCTGTGTATGTATGCATGTATGTGCGTGTATGTGTATGTGTAAATGTACTGCACCGTAAAGTTACGTTACCCTCCTTCAAAGACGTGATGAGCCCGCATGCCACCTCATCTAGTATCGCATGGTGGATATGATGGTGAATTATGTCCATCGCAAGAGATAGACGGCTGCTTATACCTGAAGATTTCAAACAAACAAAAGGGGCTCTCGCTGCAAGCAACACCTTGCACGTTTACCGTTTACCGTTGCGTTTTATGCCCTGCCTTGTATTCACAAGACCTGCTGTGTCACTTTTGGGGCCCTCTCCGAGTAGTTGTGAACTTTTACTCTCCCCAGTGTTTAATGGTCTGTCGAATACATAGCAGTAGCAACAGCAGCAGCAATAGGCCACCACGACAGATTCCCTTAACGAGGCTCCACCTCGAGCGCGGTATCTTGTTTCTGGCTGTACTGAAGACTTGGCTCTGTTTGGGGTTCTCTGTCCTCCAACTTACAAAGTGAGGCTTTCGCAACCGCAGCCCCTACGGGGTGTTACATTGTGATCAATAGTTGTATCAGCCGCCGCTGCAAGAGCAGCACGATGGTCGGCTAGTCATCCTTCCCGCCTCCTTGGTGGCAAGTAGGGGGTTGGGGGTAGGGGCTGCGGCAGGAGGAAGTTGGAGTCCTTGTGTAATGGAGATTGGCCTTCGTGACGGCCGGGGCCGGAAGGCGGTTACTCTCTGTGTGGCGGGGTTGCGGTCGCTGCAGGAGGGGGTGAAGAGTGAGTGGGGAGTTGTGCAAGGTCCAAGGACCAGCAGATAACTGGACCTGGCCTGCTGCGTGGAAAGGAGATTTAATGAAAGGCAGGTTGGTCCGAAAACTTGGAAACCACTAACTCACTTTGTTTTTCTGGCCTTCATGTGGATTTGAATAGACTGGATTTGGCTATCCCATGGAAAAGAGGTTACGGATGTCGGTTGCTTGCAATATGCTGTAGCCCTGGTAGACGAACAAGCGCAGCAGGCGCCCGCGCAATTGAGCGTTAGGGAATTTCTGGACCCCGTGGATAAATTAGGGTGGATTCACCAGCACTTATGGCACGTTGCTGAAATGTGTGCATTCACATCTTGTTCGGCGCCGCCTGGGTGCACAGGCGTAAGACAGGTTTTTAGGCATCATTGGCACAGAGATGAGGGCGCATGGGTCGGTAGATTTGCTACGCGCTTACTATGAAGCCATGACAGGGACATACTCTTGCGTGAGGCGTGACGGGAAAATCCCACGCTTCAGTCATGAGGTGATCTTCAGAGGAGGATGGAAAAACTTAGTAAAATAATACTGCTGTTCGTTAATCATTTTTGGACAGACATGGTGCTGTAATGTGTGTGTACAGCTGTAAGGTGTAACACGGCTTTTTTTCCGGCAAATGTGATGAAGCATACGATTCATAAACCGGTGTGGTTATAAAGCGGTTGAGCTGCCTTTCGGTAGGTTCCAGGCAGGCAGGAAGGCTATGGGTACTTGAGGGCCGGGCGCGGTCCCGCTCACGGATGGCATGGCATAGGCGGCAACAGTGGGACTCCGAACCTGCGCAGTCATGGCGTGCAAATTTGCAAATGCTACCGGGTTGTGTTGCATTACGCATTTTTGTATCTGTTTGTTGCCGGTGTCTCTTTACAAGTAGTACATTTAAAGCACTCTCATGGAGCCGCGGGCTTCTTGCCGGGTCTGGATAGTGATGCCTCTACTGTCCAACATATGTTAGATATCCACATACACGTCGCAAACGCACGAAGAAAAGCATGACTGGAGCGATGCCAACATGGCCGATCACCTCAGCACAAATAATCAATATAAGTACCAAAAATGCCCTTTGCCGGGCGTATCTGACACCAAAGCAGGCGCCGCTATGGTATATTTCATATGGATTATAAAAGGACACAATTTAATCTAACCCCCCACAGTTTACGCCGTCCTTTCGACATTGATGCAGCAAGCAAACCCTATCCATTTAACATAAGAATGACCACGTTCGTTCTTAGTTGGGAGAAGTTTGGATGTGTGCGGGCATTCTCATGACCCGTGGGTCGGCTATATGCACAAAATTTTAACGACCCGTGCCTGCCTGTGTATTGCATGAATTGACACATGCACGAAATTTCCACGATTTCGCTGGTGACTAGTCCAGTGTTACGGTACTCGCCCGCCATCCTCAAGAGTTCAGGCCCGCAGCTCAGTGTGGACCCTGTAACTGCATACAGCTTGCACGATCTGCACAGGATGCTACAGATTCCACGCCTAATATATCCAACCCACACTCCCCTTTACCCTCGTCCCCTCAAAGCTCAATTCCTAACTCAGGCAAGGCAAAAAACACGCTTTGTCTGTCGCGCGCTCCATACCCATCAACTCGTAACAGTAACCCAACGCACACAGCATACATCCGGATCGTCACACCATGTCGCACCACCGTCTTCATTAGGCTCCAGGAAAATAGGGTTCGCTTTTCAACGGCGGAATGTCCGTGTCCCAAGGCCAGTGCTGAGGGTCCGCCAACATTTGCTTGATCGCCTCGTCGTCGTACGTGTCGTACCCTGGGGTCCCCTTGCCGGTGCCGTACCGCACAAACAACTCCTGGTACCTGCAGCATCGCAAAGCACGAACGACACGAGGATGAACATCTAAAGAACTTCTAGTTGCTCAAAATTTCACTTGCACGGGGAGAATATTTCCTTGGCGGCAGTGGAGGACATGCCATGTGTGCGGGTTTTGGAGCCGGTAGCAGCTTGTGTTAGTCGACAGGTCAGTGGGGTTGCTGGAAGGGTGCAAGGACGCGCGTTGGCATGGACGGACCCTGCAGAGCTGCGGCATGCCGTGACCTTCCCGTGTTGCGGATGTAGGAAAAGATGGTCAGACTTAACCCGCACACACGAAATGTGGCGAGCTTTCTGGAACTGACGATCATGCGCTCCTCTTCTGTCATCAGCCCTGACTCCCATTGGCCCCACCCTACTCGGCGGTGCTGCCGCAAACCTCACAATGCCGCTCCCCGGCACGCAGGCAGCCGGTATATATGAAACCCAATTTCGCATCTTCAGGCGCACACGGAGGCGACATGAAAGCGACATCACCGGCGGTGACGCCCGCCGCTCTGCCTGCCGAAACCATGGCCCGGCCTATACACAGCCCCGACATCCATGTCAACCACCTCCCACGGGTTTGAGACCAAGATAGGAATTCCTCACACGTGCACAGACGTCTGTAAAAGCCGGGGGTTGGGTGTTGGCTGCGCGGGCACATGTAGGCCATGTTCGATTACCGACATCCACTACCGCCCCCACTATACACAAAATGTACATGTAGGTGCATTATACCTGCATGCGTGGGCTGTCTCCCGCTTGGCCGACAGGAACTCCAAAAAGCGACCCAGGTGCAGACAGAGCTTACGATGAGAACAGTCAGGAACGTACCTGTAAGGAAAAGGCAAGAAATACAACACTGTACCTTTCTGCTGGCGTGTCCTTTCAAGGACGCTAAAGCTGTTTCTTTGTGCTTTTGTTGCGGTGTATTGATTGGTGTTGGTTTCATGCTGCGGTTCGCGTACATTAAATGTGTGAAACAGGGGGGTGTATCTTCGCCCGTGGCAGCTACCCTGCGAAACCCTGCCTTCCCCGGTATTTCGGGGCACCCTCATCCAGTCACCCTAGTCAACTTCTCAGTGGATCGCTCAGGTTCCGCACCCACCACCAGCATCCAACGGAATCTGCCGGGTCGACAGCGGCGCAACTCCATTCCTGGTCGGCTCGCAGGTTAACTTTATCCCAGGTCACCACCGTCCATCAACTAGGGGCGCAATGCCTTCCACCATCGGAAGGACTTTGACCCTAACGGGTATCGATCCCGGGATCTCCCGGGGGCAATGGTTGCGCCTTACCAGTGGTGCCAAATTAGATGTACGCGCACACACAAACTTACATACATATGTATGTATGTATGTATATACATACATACATACACGCGCACCTCATACGTTTGCCCATCTCCTCCAGTAGGGTGCGGTAGTAGCACAGCCGCGCGCTGCGGTGCAGGTGTCGTACGGCGAACTGCTGAGCGGCTAATGCGATGGACTCCGCCTCACGATCATGGCTCTTCAGCCACTCCACCACCTGCAGAAGCAGATGCGGGCGCGGTGTCGCCTTGTGTTGGGTTAAGACGGTTAAGAGGACAAGCTTTGGGAGGGGCATCTGGGGGCCCAGGCTCTCTCACGTGTTTTCCCCATCGCATTGTAGAGCATTCCTGGCCCTGGGCCGACTTAGCACTGCCGGCAGTCCCGTCCATATTCCGCCCACATTACACATCCGCTGCATCCACCATCCAACCAACCTCGCCTCTGTCCCTACACTTACATCCAGGATATCTTTTCTGGACTTGACCATCGCCAAGACGTAGTGTTCGCCGGGTCTCAACGCGTCGTAGTAGTAGCCATAGCGGGAGGAGTTTGCCTGTGAGATGGGTTGTGTGGATTGTGGTATGTATGTATATGTATGTATGTGTGTGGCTCATGCATGCAGCGTCTAATAGTAACCGCCGTACGGGTCCCAAGCACCAGCTGCCGTACGAGTCCCAAGCAGGATCGTGGTACACAGGGACCCAGGGAGGGAAGGAAAAGGTGTCAATGTGCGGGCGGGGGACGAGTTATTTATAAAACCATCTGAGCGCTCTCCACACCCCCTTCTTCCCTATTCCAATACTTAACCAACCCTCATCTATTGTATAGTTGCATTCTTCAATGTCATCTTTACCTGCTTCGGAATCCTCCCCCCCTATACCGACCCGACCATCCCACACACGCCACCTTGATGATGGTGGAGCCTAGTAGCAGGTACTTGTCGAACTTGGAGCTTATCGCCCAACCATCTGTGGACACC